TTACTGGTCTATTAAGCAGGGCATTTATCCATCAGCAGGCATGGAGGCACACACCCTGGAACATCCCTCTGCTTTAGCTACTCAGGGGAAAAGACCCAGAACAAACATGAGGTTTGACTTTAGGGAGACTTGACAAGAGAGGGAGACTTGAAGAAAGTGCTACTGATCTTTTTCTGAAAGTCAGATCACCCTAGCTTTGGTTTCCAGTAAGTTATGTCCCTGTTAAAGGATAATTTGCTCTCCAACTAACTTCTTCGGGGAAAATAAACAAAATCTATGTTTGGAAGAACTGGGGTTGCATTGACAATAGTAAAATCAAAAGACGACTTATAAGTTTGAAACAATGAACACGTTGTTGAACAGAGGCAACAATATTAAACGTGACCGCCCTTTTCCACATCCTCCATGGAAAGCAAAAAGCTTCAGAACACTCAAAGCCAAGGAAGTGGAAAAGGAAAGCAGGCACTGGTTTGCAGTGGTGAATGAACCATCTTGGAAGGCTGTGCTGTGGCTTCTGTCCTTAGAGGAAGAGAGCTGAGTGGTTGGGACAGAACTACTGCCAGAGTAGGGACAGAAACCAGGTAGCAAGGTGGATGAGGAGACAGAAGAAACCTCAGCTGCATTCATCTAAGTAGCACTGTGACAAGGCAGGGAGGGTGCAGGGGACTCTACAAAACAAGAGTCACAGAGCTTGGAGGCAACAGCCCACAATGTTCTCTGGGAATTGTCTTCTCCTTTCATTACAAGGCCACACAGTACAAGGCAAGGTTAGTATTTTTCCAGAGAGCTGAGATACCTGAAAAAACTGCAGAGTTTTTTTTCCCTGCAGCTTTGGAAGCCAAGCTGGACCTGGAGAACATCATGGAGACAGTACTTGCAAAAGGTGTACGCAGATGTCTTTGGGCACACATGTGTGACTGGTCCTTTGCTCTCCACCTGCTGTTGAGAAAGGGCCAGGCCTTGGTGACAGTTCTAATTATTCCTTTTCCATTTCATTATTTCACTTCAGGAATTTGCTTGACCTTCAGAACCTTGGTGTCCTTGGCTGAAAGACAAACAGAGCTAATCATTCCTACCTCACTGCTCTGCTGTGAGCATCTGTCACATAACCAGAAATGTATGTGCCTCATCTCTGTCCCCACATCCTGGCATGTGGCTCTTAAAGCCACTGGGCTCTCTAGAATCACAAGTGTCTTCATGTATATTAACAAGAAGACTGGAATCTGGAGGTCTTGGATAGCTCAAGATGAAACTGCTTCCACAGGGGCCAGCCATGTGGTTAGAGGACTGAAATTTCATCCCCTCTCTCTGATCTTCAGTGAGGAGGAGGGGTTAAAGGCTGACCTGACTACGAAGGACCAGTGAGATAATTAATCATCTCTGGAGAATGAGACCTGTATTAAAACATCAGAGGAAAGAGCTCAGAGAACTAACTCTGCAGTGACCCTCAGAGGCACTGACTTTGCATCCTTTCCAATATGTCTTGTCTTTTACACCACCTGTGCTCATGTCTCATCTTATTGACCACCTAATCAAACTCAGGCGTTTCCTGAGTTTACGAGCAATTCTTGCAAATTCCTGAGATTGCATCTCAGGGAAGGGTTTGGAAATCTCTGATGATGGGGAATGTACTACTGTGTATGTTTATCTTATTGATTATTGAATAAAATACTGTTTGGCCAATGAGACAGCAAGTTAGATGGAAGTAGGAGTCAAAGAGGATTCTGGGAAATGTAGTAGAGAAGCTGAACCAGGCAGGAAGTGACATAACAAGGAGACTCATACTTAAGCGAAAGAGAAACAGGAAGGGCTCTCTTTTCCCCTCGGCTCCTGCTTCAGCAGCACAATGTGATCACCAGCTAGGAGGGACACCAATAAGGCGTCCGATAAGATAAGTCTTATAAAATATATAGATGCATGATAATTGAGACTGAGCTAACAGATGAGAATCCTAGTCATTGGCCAAGCAGCATTGTAACTAATACAAGTCTCTCTGTGTATTCATTTGGGCCTAACTCGGGCAGGCGGCTGTTGTAAAGCTCACATGTGGCAGTGGGGCTCAGGCAGATTTTGACAGAAAGATTTATCGCAACACTCTGATCTACAGCTTCCAGAGATGTAAGAGAGAATTCAACTCAGACTTGAGATTGGCAATTGATGGTCAAGTTTGGGACAGTCTTATAGGTCTAAACCTTAACCTGACCAGATGTCAACTCATATAAGTCCATAAGGTATTGACATGTGAAGGAAGCTTGTTTCTAATTTGAACTAATTAAAAAAAAGAGGCCCCAGTCTATGATCAGGTGGACTTGTAACTTTCAGATCTCTGATAAAAGTGCAGGATGGCAATGTAGAGCAGGAAGTGGGGCAAAGAATGAAGCAAGACACTTTCTGGCCACCAAGCAGAAAACAAAACAACTAAATAGCACAAGAGGAAGGGATCTGGATCCTACAGTTCCTAAGAAGCGAACTCGCCCATGACATGACGCCCTTCCTCTAGGCTCCACATCCAACCTCGCAGTGCTACCCTGGAACCAAACCTCACCTTCAAATCAGTTTAGCATATTGAGTGATAGATATTCCATGTCAGAACTGCAGCATTCTGTCACTGTCCCCAAAACTTCATGCCCATTCCACAGCTCAAAATGCATTGAATCCAATCTTTAAGAGTTGTCAAAGTCTTACTTGCCCCACCCTTGCTCAGCAGCCCAAAGTCCCTTTGGGGATTCAAAGCAAACTCAGCTGTGAACCCCTACAGAAACATACGCACTACTAAGATAGAATGGTGGGATACAACATCCCAAAGAATACTAGGGTGTGGTCTGACAAGGGCTTGGGCATCCATATCTTGTCACTCTTCAGGTTGCCATCCATGCGGCCTCTCTGTTGAGCTGATTTTGTGCACTTCCTGAAGCTTCCCTCAGCAGCTAATCATTGTTCCTGCAAGTCTAACTTCCAAAGTTCCCTACTGAAGCTTTGGCATCTTGTTCACAGCTTCCCACATTAGCAGTTGACTGTAGAACTCTGACTTGTGCACTGTGTAACCTGAAGGCTGCCTGGAAATTTCAGTACCAGATACCAAGATCCATAATGCATGTTGTCAAAACCAGTCTTGCATGTGTGACATCAAGGTTTATTGTTTATCCAAGCTATATAGGGTCTTCATAATGGCTGCATAATGCTTCATAAATGGCTGCAGTGGCCCCTTGCTGCCTTTCTGGCTGAACACAAGGAAATGAATCCCACAGTTTTGAGCACAGAGGGGATCCAGGACTCTTCTTTGAGAAGATTCTTCCCTGGAAGGTCTTTGAAAGAATTCTGCACTTCTAAACAACTCAACTTGTGAGGGCTGCAGCCTTGGCAGCTTCTTAAATGCCTTTAGAACAAGATCCCTGGGAGCAAGCACTGAGGTGGCCCCTCTTTCCTAGTGCTGGCCACAGTCTCCTTGGTCACACCTCTCATATGCTCTCTTCCTAGCCAGATTGCATTTCCCTTTTCCAATCTGCCCACTGTGCTCCGCATCTCTCTTTGCTTTGACTTCTAATCCGGGATGGTATTATGGAATCACAAAACCTACCTTCTGTCAAGTGCTGGAAGTTCAGATGCTGAATGCCTCCCCTCCCCAAACATATACAGGAGGCCATACAATAAAGCCCTGGTCTTCCAGGTGACACTATGGGGAAGTGATAGCTCCTTTATAAGACCCTTATATTGCTGGGTATATACCCTGAAGAGGATAGTGGGACCTGGTCTTTCTTTTGTTCCCCAGCCATGAAGTGAGCCATTTATTCTGACATGTTCTCTTTGCCATTGCCACCAAGCATCCCCACTAGAACACTGAAAGAAATGACCAACTTAATCCTAGACTGGAAATTCTAAAACTGAAAGTTAAAATAAGCCTTTTTTCTTTATTAGCTGGTTATCTTAGGTATTTTATTACAATGGCAGACAATTGAATAAATAGAGAATTGTAACTTCTACTGGCAGGATGTGGAGGGACCTTAGAACTTGTTTTACAGGGAGAGTTTGGTCAAGCATGGAGGAGCAGACTAGAGAGAACCAAGGAAAAGCAACTGGCAAACAACTGCTGATATGACTGCATTACCAGAGATTCCCCCCAACTCATAGCTGGCCCATCAACAAAAGACCATTATACCCATCATGGAGTTCCCCCACTAAGCTCCATTTGAAAAAAGTATGCCTCTCCTACTTTTCAGAACTGATTTATTCTTTTTTTGTCCACTAATCATAAAAGGTATAGTGAGTATAATTTTAAAGCCCTATCCCTTAAAAACAAAAGTGACAGTGTAAAGTGCCAGGTTGACACTAGAACTAAGCTCATACAGTTCGGTCACTGTATTCAAAAGCTGTTTTACACAAATGAATAATTGTTCTGTGTCACTGAATCAAAGGAGACATGATGCAGACACCTGTCCAGCAAAACTGCTTAGGTACGTGTCCACCCCTGACTCACTGGGGTCTACTGGTGGGGAAGGAATAGCATGCTGTATAGGAGAGCAGTAATAATGGCACAATACAAACATGAGATGTAAATAAATTGGGTGTCCATGTGAGCTGCAGAGGCTCAGGTACCAGACCAGTGCTCAGAAATACTCTAGTCCAAAGAATCATTTAAGAAATACTGAGGGAAAATGCCAGGTGACTACCAGCAAGGTCACAGCTAGTGAAGGGACAGCAGAACAAAAGATGTGTACACTACAGAAAGTAGCAGAAGACCTGGGAAGTCTGTTCAGTCTAGGAAGTAATAATTACTTCATTCCCTGAGGTCTGACAAGAAGATGAGGAGGGGAGGACCCCCATCATGAGATAACAGGGTTAAAAATGGCACAAATAGAAAACAGTGTGCATGTTATCCACACAGCCAAGTACACAAGG